TGTCACTTCTCACATACATATACATGTTAATGTGTGTGACAAATATTCAGCGAGTGACAAAATGGCAGCTGCGACATTTTTCTAGGCTGTCTTTATGAAGTGCACAAGATATGCTCACAAACATCATACTTGCACTCTTGCACTTATACATGCGTATTTGAATATTTACGACCTGTATATTAAATGCATCGTTTGCAAGATAATTTTAATAAATTCATGCTTATGTATGCATATGCGAAAGAAACAAACGATGCGGTGCTATGAGTTGACATGAAAACTGCAGTATTATATTTGACCAGAAATGCCCAGATCATGAGTATAAAATTAAAACAAAAAAACTTTCGAAACACGTTTTCATACATTAGCTGATCGTTCAGTTTATACGACAGTTATGTTAAAATTTTCATTATCTGATTTTAATTTCGGGAAGTTATTTGGAATTATGAGTTAGTCCCTTGTATACAGACGGATTGCTAGGCGGACATATCTAAATCGACTCAGCTTATCACGCTGCTCCGGCCYCCGCCTTCTTATCATTCTGAATGTTAAACTTAACAGTTATGGTATGAATATAAAGTGGTAGACAAAACATAGTTCGCCTTGTTAAATGATAATTTTCGATAGTTTTTTACATAGGATCGGTCAGTCTACTCCGAAACTCGATCACGATAAATTTTTTTTTTTTTTGTAATTGTTGTAGCAGCAAAATTCCGCCGAGTTTACCGTTTTTGGCCGAATAAAAATCGTAGACCCGACTGTCGTGGGTACAGAAAAGTAGTTTATATTTATGGCTGTTTGTCAAAAATAAGCGGCTATTTCCAGTAAAGTATTATTGAAAAAAAAGAAAAATCTGATTGAAAACAAAAACTATTTTATTAGGGTTGTGAGATCAAAAAAATGTAACCCGTCGAAAAAAGATAAAATTAAAAAATAAATTGAAACTAAATATTATTTCTAACTGATACCTTCTATTGGCTCTTCTCCCTCGGATAATGGGATAATATCACCTGGCAATATACTGGAATTTATCAATTTGCAGGGGCTAGGTGAGGCGTTATGACTTAGCAGAGGKCACAGTAGACCCTAGGTCGGGATGCAACCATCATTTACTTGTCTAATCTAATCTAGCTGATACCAACTGAAAAGTAGTAATCATGCAATGAGTCAAAAGAACTGTATTTTGAAAGGTGTTATAATCCACTGTTTACAAATACTGAATGAAACATAAAGATGCAGTGATTTAAAATTGTGCATATCTTATTTGCTTTTTCATGCCTCTTTGTTTATATGGTTTTGAGCTATGTATGTGTTTTTGTGTTTAACACCATTCATGGGCAGGTGTATAAGCCGAGCCGGTTTTGTTGCGGTGTTTACACTTTTCCATACATAGAAAATATACACACACGAACATGTTATTATTATTTTTGTATGCCACCATCACTGCGGTTATTGTGTAAAAAATGCACACATACATATTTCATTACGATTGTGAAASGTAGCGAATATCGAAAACAAATTGCCGACATTTGGTTGTCCGTAATAAATGTGAAATATAGGAAATACATATTAAAACGAAAATATTTTTACGAAGCGAAAACTACAAACCAAAACAACATTTATAATACAAATTTATTTTATATACCGGCTGAACAATGAGTTCACACATACTTTTCACAAATGTGTAAGAATATTTATAAATTATTATATTTAGTTGATCTATATTTATTTTTTTGAACATAAATATTACGCACAATTACTACTGGGTTCATGTGGTCAAATACGAGCCTTACTACTAAGGTGTATGTGATTGTTGTTGCAGTTGATAGTTGCCGGTCTACTAGGTGTGTATATTTTCTGTTGTGAACAGTAAGAATAAAACCGAAAATACTATTTACTATGGAAATACGTAAATACTAGTATATAAAATTCRTATGTGTGTGTTCATGAGCGGTTTAGTGCTCTTCAATGGATGTGAATTTATATAGTCGATTTACAAACAATAATTTAAAAATTCATAGCATCAAGTTAGGGTAGTGAAAGAAMAATCAATCATCATAATCATTTCAGCCAAAAAAAAAAACTGGCATTCAGTCATAATCTACGTACAAATAAATGAATGAATAAAAATGTGTGTTCACTTCTTTGAAATGTATTATGTTATTTATATTCAAATTACTTATAAACATATGTATTATATATGTATGTGATTTGGTACAACTTCTTTGTGTTATCTTTTGCTTTTTATTAAAGTTTTTATTTTTCTTCAGCATGAATATTATTTCGTTCAAGTCCACTCTATATGTTTAAATATTTTATTGTTGTTTTAAAGTAGAAAAACAAAGTGGGTATTTAGTATAAGTCAGTGAATGGGACACTAAAAGTTTTTGACAACGCCAGCACTCTGCGAACAATAATCACATCACCTTAAGTGATCAGTAGCATTTGTGCTCATTAACACGAAGAAGCTGTTATGCGAACTGGTTAGACACCTTTTTTACTATTTGTAAAACATATTTTCCAAACTTTTTGCCTATTTTTTGTCTTACAAAAAGTCACTTGACTATATTGGCAAATAACAGCACAACCACATATATATTTTTGATGGTAGACGAATAGTCTTTTACTTTAAGCCAATTATTATATGTTTTCATTGGCAATAAAATGAAATCTAGTTGACCTTAGAAAATACCATTCAGTTTTTCTGAACTGAACCATTTAATCATAATAAAAATAAATACAAATTTGCATATATAATAAGCCATATAAACACATTAATAATAAAGTTTATTTCACCCAAAAACGAATGCTTAACATTTATATAAATACAATAAATATCTATATTACTAAATGTCAATGTATATAAGCATTATTAGTTAATAAAACTTGTTATATTGTTTTGCTGAAATTTATGCAGATATTAGGTATATGTTATCTATTGCATTTAAATGCACAAATATGTATAAAAATAAAACAATTTAGAGCACTTTTTGATACAAAAACAAAAAAATTATAATAAATAATAAGTTACTGAAACACGAAGAGTATAACAAACTTTTCATGGACAATGTAAGAAACAAAAATGCCATAGGCGCGGCGCACCCAGGAAAACATACAAACAAATGTACAAATGTTAACAAAAAAAGAAAAAGCAATTGCGCACAGAGCATACGCACTTTCCCTTCAGTACCATATTTCGTACATACTCACTATATGCTACATCCTGGACATACCGCCTGCCACCCAAGAGCACATGAACGATATTTCCGTTGTCAGTGCGCACGTAGACGAAGATGTAATGGTAAAAGCAAAGAATCTACTGAATATTCTTACAATCCACTACGAAATTTTTGTCGTTATAGCATCCTGTATTGAGTTGTTATGATTGTTGTTGTTTTGTGGCAGTCACATTACAAAACTATGCAATTTTATATGTACATACATAAGTACATCCTTTTTTCGGAATTGACTTTAATAATTGTATGTCGCTGACTCTAATGAATGAGTCCCTACGAAGTTCATCGATTACTATACAACTTACACATAACTATTGGGCCAATTTGCGGACATTTAAACTGTAGGCTACTCTGTTATTATAATAAATTTGACTTTAATATCCTGTTTCCAAGAGAAATAGTTACATCTTTAACCATATGGCGATTTTCATAAATGTCACATTTTGGCACTAGAAGTTATTTTTACACAGCGCGAGCATTAGACAGATGTTAGTTACAGTTTTCTCGAACTTCAGRAATATTTGGTAACATTTGAGTTGATTCTTTTCCTAGTAGGGTATTCTAGATGCCTTTCAGTGATCGGTAAAATAATATACCATCATACTTATATGTCGCATTTTCTCTTTTTTGTTAATATCCTAATACTACTGAACTTACCTTATTGCTTATTTGGTGTTATGATTTTGGCAACAATTAATAATTTCCCTGTATATTTTTTCTTGGTTGTAGACGTTTAAAATATTCTTATTGGCAATGTATATTTTCTTCGCACTAGTGCTTATATATTTTAACAATTAGAAAACACTTTTCTAACACACTTTTTACACTTGCACTGAATTGCTTTCGCTGTAAAACTTTTGCGTATCTTGTACACTTATCATTAAATTTTTTTGCTGTCGTTGTGGAATTTTTCTTTATAATTTATTTTTTACTTTTTTCACTTTTGCATTCGCGTTACCGTCTCGTTTTTCTCGTTTATTCGCTCTACTCTTCACGTCTTCACGTCTTCATTGCTGCACACCTTACAACCACGGATAATTACAAGTGGAAAAATAAGGTAAAAGAAATTGACAAATACTAGGCAAAAGACGGCCCACAGAAATTCTTGGTGCCACCTTCTATTTGGAATTTAACAAATATATTGAGAAATTTCACACTTTGCTCTGAAATTGGCGATATTTACAATTTATAGTTTAGGCAACACAACACATTAAATCACAATTTTATTTTATTTTCGTGGCACTATTGCGTCCATAAATTCACAGAAACAAATATTTTACTGCCGTTTTTTGGGGAAAATACTTACACGCCTCCAGTATTACCAACCATACAATATAACCCACCACCTATCCATTGGATCATTGGATCCAATTTGGTAAAATGAAAGAATATAAAGTGGATGGTGGAGGAGGTTTATGTATGAGCTGAATACAACTTCCACAAACCATACTAATAAAAACATTCAAAAATTTGAATTGTAAACAAAATTAAATAAAATATTCAAATCTTATAACAAATTCAACTAAATTATAGAAACTAAGAAAGTATAAAGTCTAATTTTTAATACAATTTACATATATAAACATATATAAATTAAATAACTTTAATAACTTAAATATGACGTGCATATGTTAAATTAATATTGGCAAATRTGTAAACATCTACTTCCCAGTAGATGCTGCAGTATGTAAGTCTGTCAAACACCTGATGTTGACAGCTGTGCACGTTTCGGCCATGGTAAATATCTGTGCATTGTTTTTGGCGGCCATTATTCGTCTTACTACATTTATGCCAATATATTAAGTTATTGTTTTCCAAATAATTTATAACTAATTTAATTATTTGTATTAAAAATGCGTAATCTGAAATTGAAATCGTGCAAACAATTGAGTGCCAAAGTGCACAATGTTAAACATATTTTGTTGAATCCAAATATAAGCCGCAAGGAAAGTGATGAAATCGTTCATGTGGTCTCCGACGATAAGCTTTTTGAGATAAAAACAGTCACGGGCGATATAAAAGAGATCGCCGCAGTTCCTGGAATTGTAGGAGCGGAGTACTTAGCGCTAAATGATGAGATATGTCTAGCCACAGAAGCGGGGGAGGTGCTGGCTGTATCGCCCAGCTCTGGCGCCGTTAACGAATGTACATTTTGTGATGTTGGATTGGAGAAGATGTCATGGAGTCCAGATCAAGAAGTTGCCGTTTTTGTTACAAAGGCAAACACACTTGTTGTTATGACGTGCACTTATGACGTCATAAATGAACATAAGTTAAAAGAAAATTGTGATCCTGAAAGTCAGTTTGTTAACGTTGGTTGGGGTAAAAAAGAAACACAATTTCATGGAAGCGAAGGTAAAGCTGCAGCTAAGCAAAAAAGCGATTTTAAACCACCGGAGAATGTAGAGGAGCTACCGCAGGTTTGTYATCTTTAGAAATTTCAAAAAGTAAAATATTAACATGGTGTTTTTCTATATGCAGAATATTGAAATTACTTGGCGCGCTGATAGCAGTTATTTTGTAGTATCCTTTGTCAATAATGAAGTTGGACGTATGTTTAAAATTTTCAAAAAGGAAGGAGAATTAGTATACATTTCGGAACGTTTACAAGGTTTGCAATATCCGGTTGCTTGGCGGCCATCAGGTAACTGGATCGCAATGCCACAGATACTCCCCAATAAAAGTACTATCTCGCTTTTCGAGAAAAATGGTTTGCGACATCGTGAAATTACACTGCCATTCGAAATTGATGAAGAACCCATACAGTCTTTACGCTGGAGTAACGATTCAGATATTTTGTCTGTTGAAACATTAGATGCCTCGACCGGAAAAAATTATATTTATCTCTATACCATAGGAAATTATCATTGGTATCTGAAGCAGGTACTTACTTTTGAGCAAACGGACCGCATTTCACACCACTGTTGGGACCAGCGAATAGGCGAGGAAAAGACTTTGCAYATTTGGCTAGAAAATGGTCGTTATCTTATTTACCGTTGGCATTTCGATTTCGATCGCTTTGAACGAAGTGGCCTTGTAATTGTAATAGACGGTCCAAAATTACTGTTTACCGATTTCTCGAAAGCGATTCCACCACCGCCGATGTGTAGCAAAGAATTTTACGCCGACGCCTATATCAATGCTGTTGCTATAACGGAAACCCACGATGAAGAATTGCAATTGTACGTTTACGACGCCAAAGAACGAATACAAGTATTTCATGTGATCAACGGCACTTATTCAATTTCCTTAGAAAGGATCTGCTTTTTGCAAAGAGCAGAGCCGAAACTTGAGAGATATTGGTCACCACCAATAGAGCTCGGCAATTTCTTTGTGCTAGACGAAAAACATCTCGTCGCTACGGCAAATATTGCTGAAAAGAGCAAAGTGTTTCTGCTTCAGTTATCGATTGATACGAAATCCTACAAGACGATTAGCATCTTAAAACTGAACAGCGGAGCTGTTTGTAGTTGCATGGGCTTCGATACTTTGGAACAATTCTTTGTGCAAACACTAAATGGTAAAGTGCACCAAATATCGATACACAATGAGTCTACACTTAAGCTTGACAAGGTGTACCAACAATTGGACCATGTTGCATTAACCATGGAATGGTATCAAACACAGTCGGCGCAAGCAGATTGCCTCATTTCATTGTTGCATAATCAGCGTTTGTATATTGACAACGAATTGATAGCYGGCGATGTGACTTCCTTTTGCTTGGCCGGCAATTACTTGGCCTATACAAAGTTAACCGAGTTGAATTTCATATTGCTCGCCACACGCCAACATGCCTATAAACGTAATATGGAGCGTGGTGGCAGACTGGTGACCACTATAGCGAATGATGCGCGCGTCGTGCTTCAAATGCCACGCGGCAATTTAGAAGCGATTTGCCCACGTGTGCTTGCCTTGGAGATCATCGGTCAAATGCTCGATAAGCAGCGCTATCGTGAAGCKTTCAACATGCTGCGCAAGCAACGCATAAATTTGAACATTATTTGTGATCACAATATGACAAATTTTGTGAAAAATGTGGACGTTTTCTTGAAGCAGATAACAAATCCGCAATGGCTAAATCTTTTCCTCACCGATTTGCAGAATGAGGTATGTTTATTTGTTATTTCTMTGTATTTGTAAATTAATCCACTTTGTAAACTCTTGTATTAAATATATKTTTAATTTTGCTTCAATCCCCAAAGGACTTCTCCAAAACAATGTACGCCAGCAACTATACCGCAGCACAACAAACATATCCAGAAGGCTTCAAAATCACATCCAAGGTGAATTATATCTGCACGCTATTGTACAAATATATGTCAGATAACGACCAGGAACGTTTTCGCTTGCCCATTATTACAGGCTTTGTGAAAATAGGTAAGGTTGAGGAAGCACTGCTGCTGGTTTGGGAAGCTAAGAAGCAACAAAATTTACACGCTAAATATGTCGATAATTCCATGTTGGGCTCAGCCGAAGAGGCGCTCAAACATCTGCTCTACTTAGTTGATGTAAACGAATTATACAATGTTGCATTGGGCACCTACGATTTCGGTTTAGTGCTTTATGTAGCGCAAAAATCGCAAAAAGACCCCAAAGAATTTCTACCTTTTCTTAACGAACTGAAGCAGTTGGAAATGAATTATCGTCGTTTCAAAATTGATCTGCATCTGAAGCGTTACGAAAAGGCACTGGAGAATATCGCTAAMTGCGGATTTGAGAAATTCGACGAAGCCTTAGAATTTTTGGACCGCCATCGTCTCTACAAAGAAGCTTTTAAGTACTATAACTTGGAAAATGGTGATGATTTGACTGAGCCAGAAAAGGAAAGTCTGCGTAACTGTCATATGCGCATCTGCTTGACCTATGCGGATCACTTGCGCGCTGAGAACGATCTTGCTAGTGCGAGCATTATGTATGAGCGCGGCGGCAATCTCGCACAGGCGCTGCTCTGTTCCAAGCATATATTGGATTGGCGTCGTGTGCTGATGTTGGCGCAAAAGGATGCAAAGGWTGTAGGCACAGTGGCGCTGTAAGTAGATAATTATAAAAAAAAAATTCTATTATTAAAAGTATTATTCATTATTGACAATTATATATTTTATTATTAATATTATATTTAATAGTATTTTTATTTATATTTTATATTCTTTATAACTTATAAAATATTTTTTCACCTAGCACCATGTTGCCAGCTTTACTTGAACACGGGCAATATCAGGTTGCGCATGACTTACAAAAGACTTATGGCACAAACTTTAAGGAAGCAATCAAATATCTCCTGCAGGGTCATCTCTACTTCCAAGCAATTGTAGAAGTGAATTTGAATAACGGAGAGGTTGCATTATTAGAGGAATATGTCAAGCCAGAGTTGCTCGCATACGTTAAGCAACTGCAACAGCAGTTGTCGGATGATGAAACCGTGTTCATTGCACACAAGGAACGTTTGTGTGAGGTTCGCGTGCTTGCGCAACAAAAGCGTGATGGCCTCTTTAATGGCGATGAAATGGCTGATATTGATGAAGTCGACTTACTCTCCGACACTACTAGTATGCGCTCATCGCGTTACACTGGAAGCTCTCAAGGCACCGGGTGAGTTTTCGACGGAATTACAAACACTTTTCTTCTTTTTTTTAAATTTCATTTTCATGTAATTAATTATTGTTCAAAACTGCAATGCGCAACGCGTTTGGGTTTTCGTTTCATAGATCCAATTTTTATAATCAGTACATGCACATTATCTTTTGATTTATATTAATTTTTTTTCTATTTTTTTTTTCACTTCAGCAAAACATTCCGTTCGGCCAAAAATCGCCGTAAGCACGAACGTAAATTRCTTAGCTTGAAGCCCGGCAATCCATTCGAAGATATCGCACTCATTGATGCGCTGCACAATGAAGTCATGAAGTTGGTCAATCAGCAGGAACAGGTGCGTGACACATGCAAAGCCTTAATGGAATTACAAATGGACAAGCCGGCATCATCGCTACAAAAACAATATGCACAAATGCTCACACTGCTGCAAGACTCCTTCGATACGATATGGACTGAAGAAATGGCCAGCGTGCATACTATGGAGTACAAGCCATCACCAACAACCGATTACACACAGTTGCAAAACGAACAACGCTACGCATTGTTGGGTAAGTGCGCCAGCGATACAAAGTTGTGTTTTATTTCAAAATAAATAAAAAATTTCTTTCTACCCACAGCTCCGCAAAAACGTTTTAAGCCGCAAATAGACATTATCGATTGGATGTGTAAAATACTTGCTTAGACATATACATATACCTTACTACTGCATAAATTATAATCTCAATAATAATAATAATTTTAATATAAAACACATTTAAGCTGCGTGCACACCATGTCTAGCCGGGCAGCGTGTAATCGCCTGGCTAGTATGAAAAAGCGTAAAGTCTTTAGCAATTAATCAAATTTGTATTTACAAGCAAAATTTGTATGTAACAACATCAATCAAAAGCATTGAATTATTGAAAAGGTATGTATACTTATGCATATGTTTGTAGTATTTGCGTTATATTTTGTACATATATTGTTAATAAAAACCGAAAGTGAAATTTTCTTTAGCTAAATGCAAAAATTTATGCAAAACAAATTTATTTTTCATCGAAACACTTTYACACTTTTGTGTAAACTTAACTCACATTGATAGAGCGCGCCATGCGAGTTTAATTATTCAACCGTGAAAATGTTTTTTCAGTAAGTGGTAGATAACACATTACTTTTCAAATTGATAACACTTTATAAAATTCACCTCAAAAACACTTTCACCATTCAATGGACAATTATATCGTTTTTGCATAAAAAAAAGACCACCCAGTGTTGTTGTGGCAGTAAATATTAAAATTTTATTAGTGGTAAGATTTATATGTTGTCATCTGAGGAGAGCTCCAGTAAATAGGGTAATCGTTGGGTCTGAAACAGAGGAGAAGAGTGTTAGATGGAAAGTAAATTTTTTTGCTTGGCTAATTTGTAAGGGTGTAAGCTGGTTCAGCGTGAATCTGATAAAACTAAATAACTTTTTTTTACCGCTGTAATCTTGTTCAGCGTGAATCCAATAAAAGTAAACAACTTCTTTAGCTCCAACAGGTTCCTAGTTTATCTTACCAACTTTCATTGTTAAAATAAAATTTTAAACAGTTTTTTTTATAAAGACGTCCCTCTAAACAACAAATATGCGAAGTAATTGTTTGAAAATTTACTAAAATTAATTCCATCTAMAWGAGTATACTCCAGATTCGACCCTTGAGGGTCGAAATGAGTTCTTTGAGTTCTTTGGTCTATTATCCAGAGATTTGATCATTACATAGAATGTATGTAGACCATTGACATGACAAGACATTTGGTAACTCTATTAACCCTTTTAATGCCGGGCGAAATAGAGGTGCATATGCGAAAAAACCGGCCGAATTTCACAGTWTTACAAGGGTTCGTAAAAATACTTGTACAAACCAAACGAGAAATAATATTTGCATAATTCAAAAAGCTGCATATTTTGGATGAAATACAGAACTAAACAATGACACTCGCTTTTTCGAACTCTTTAGAAAATTATAGAAAAAAACAAAAGTATAAACGTTTGTAAATGAAATGAAGGCGCGATCCGATATATCGGCTCGGGCACTTTTTGCAAGTACAGCTTTTTTTTTTTGTTTATCAAAAATTGCCTTGATAATTTTAGAGTTGCAGCTCCACACCGCCCRATTCCCCGAGGAGACTTTATAGGATGTCAAACCCTAAGTGATGTAAATACTTCGTCTCGTTCACTACCAGACCTATTTGCTTCGCTTCCTTATCCAGTCTGGAGAAAGCTGAACTAACGGCGCGATTATTGAAGCCAATGATATCAACATCATCGGCGTATGCCAGTAGCTGTACACTCTTATAAGAGATTGTGCCTTCTCGATTTAGCTCTGCAGCTCGAATTGTTTTTTCCAGCAGTAGATTGAAGAAGTCGCACGATARGATAGGGAGTCTGCTTGTCTGAAACCTCGTTTGGTATCGAACAGCTCGGAGGGGTTCTTCCCGYTATTGATGAAGCTGTTGGTATACCTCAACGTCAGTGTACACAGCCGTTTTAGTTTTGCGGGGAYACCAGATTCAGATATCGCCGCATAAAGTCAGCATATTTTCGTGCTGTCAAACTTATACTTATTTGCTAAAAGGTGAAAATGTGTCGAAACAATTTTATATACAATTTATACACTTTCTGAACCTTTACTACCCACCATTTCGTCTCGAGAAGTATTATATTTTTTAGATTTACAAACTCCAAACTAAACGCTTACCCACTAAGTTTTAAAATATATGTATAAATATTTATTTCCATTCGCTAATTCGCGTTTAATACACACACTGGTAAGCACGCCGCCCGTGGCTGCTGGAAAAAAGGGAGGCGGGTGAAATCACTATAAATGCAATTATATTTCTTTTAATTGTGAAGCATTGAAAACACAAAATCTCTTTCACGTAAACACACTGACTTTTCTATAGAAATTCACGTACATACATACATACACACATACATACATATGAACGTGCCATCATTATCAGTTTACACTTCTATACACAACATACATGATATTTTCATATGTACATACAAATATCTGTGCATCGCTATATAAATAATAATAACTTTTAATCATGGAACAATTAAATGGTTTGATTCGAATGAAGGGGCGTCAAAGCGTGATTAAGCAATGGAAGAAAAAACCGCCCTCTAAATTCGTTTACATTGTTTYGTGGTATAGTTACTGTCGATTTTTGCGTATTTTAAAAGAGAAATTTAGTATTTCATTTTACCAATTAAACTGAGTCACTTTAACTTACATATGGTGTTTCAAATTTTTTCCAAAAAAATGTTAGCAGAATTTATCTAAGGAGACGCTTACAATTCTAYGGTATAATGTTCGCCTCATCATTGATATGACGTTAGTGGGGATCTCTTAGTCTATTTGTTGCTTACATATGTCTTTACATTATCCCTAAAATGCGTAATTATAGATTTCATGTTGAATATTTTAATCAACGTTCCGAAAAATATTATTTGGATATACGGGGCCACAGGCTACAACCATAGTTTTGTACATGGAATCGATGGCATGTGCTCAAAAGTAAACGGCTATCTTTCCGACCTCCTCCATTAAATCCACAGCGMCCATATTCRCAAACTGGACGAATGAGTACAGATTTAACTTTAATATTGCGGTCGATGGCGTTAAGATTTTGACTGTCAATAAGCCTGAAATTTTAGGTGTGCCTTTCGACAGTCAGTGCTTCTTCATTCCCCATACGTCCGCGATTATCGCCAAAGTACAGAGCCGCAATAAAATCCCCAAGTCGCTAGCCGTCAGCACATTGGAAAAAGACAAAGAAACGTTGTTAGCAACTTACAAGGCTAACGGCCGGCCGGTTCTTAACTACGCCGCACCAATATGGTTTTTTTTTTTTTTTGTTGTAGCGGCAGAATTCTGCCGAGTTGATAGTCCTTGGCCGAATAAAAATCCGGATCCGTTCCGCTGTCGTGGGAACGAATCAATATCGTCGCTTGGATGCAGTGCACTGCGGACTACGACAGGATGCCACTTGAAGACTCCCAGAAAAGACCCTGACATATCAAATATATGTCCAGCGTGCARTGAGTCCTCTCATGACACTGACCATCTCTTTGTATGCCGTGCTAACCCTACTTATCTGACACCTTTGGTCTCTCCCTTTGGTCTGACCCCGTCGAAACAACACGTTTCCTGGGCCTGTTTTAAAGATGCTACATTACAACATTTAAACTGCAATTTTGTCTAGTGGAGGCGGACTATAATTACTTACTCCATATTGGACAAAAATTTTCATAATCTGGCCTGATCCTTTTCCTTTAGATAAATACTTTAACTAATAGAACCAATGTTCAATGCGGAATTAGAAACTCTCTTAATATATGATTATGCTGTTTTTGAGGTCATCTAAGTRAGGTTTCATAATTTTCTTACCTTATATAATATCTTTCATATTAGATTCATCCTTAATGAGATTTAAGGTATTTAAATGACCCCTCACCAAACTGTTTTTAAGTAGAGAGCACATATAGTAAAATTTTCATACAATATGGTTTCGAAAAATTTAACTTACTCACAATCAATATTCTCTTGAAACAACAACCAACCTGTTCATTCATTTGGCTGGGCTCTTTGTAAAAACTATGCATGAAATTATACGTACAGTGGGGATCATAAAAATTGTATTTATAAACCCGCGACGTCCAAAAAAATATTTTTTTCGTTCAGTTTGTATGGCAGCTATATGCTATAGTGATCCCATCTGAATTTTTTTTTTTGGCAATTGCACCGTTACCTTGCGTGAAGATATCTCGTCAAATGAGATAGTTTTCCATACAAGTACTTTATTCCTTTCATTCATTTTTGTATGGCTATACGCCATAGCAAACCGATCTGAACAGTTTCTTCGGAGGTTACACCGTATCTTTAGACAATAACTCATTTCAAGCCTCGTAAAGATAGCTCGTCAAAAGAAAAAGCTTTCCACACAACTGTACTTAATTCCGATCGTTCAGTTTTTAAGGCAACTATGTATATGCTATAATGGTCCAATATCAGCGGTACCAACAAATGAGCAGCTTCTTGAAGATATAAGGACATATACAAAATTTCGTATGAATATCTCAAAAACTGTGGAAATAGTTGAACTCGTCTAGTTCGCGTATATACAGGCGAACAGTAGGACAGACAGACGGATGAGACTAAATCGACTCAGCTCATCATTCTGAAAAAGTGAAAAAAATATACATACTACATGTATATAATATTTTATATATAGGGTCTACGAGGCTTCCTTCTGGGTGTTAGACACTTCGTGTTAAACGTAAGTAGTTTTTCGCGAGCTAATCACTGCGTTATACGCAGACGTGTAGGTACATATGTATATTGAATTTATTTACACACATTTGCATTTAAGCTGGTTTCAGTACTTTTCACGAATGCACATCTCCTTCCACCTTTAATCTGAGCGTTTGTTTGCTCACACAGCGTCCGCTCACATGGAATTTCCTCTTTTCACCGGATTTTGTTTTTCACAGAGTGACCCTCAAGAGCCCTTTTTGATGTGCCACAGTAGTGGTGTCATTTGTCACCTGTTGAAGGAAAATTTCCGTGAGGAGCTAGATTTTGAAAGACATATGTATGTATGTATATAACTGTGTGCTTTGAGAGACCGCTAAATGTGGTCCCACTCAGTAAACAGCACTGTAAGTCGAGTGTTGAATTTTGGGCTATCATTTTAAGTTTCCGAATCAACAATGAATACTTGCCTAGAACAGGCAAAATTGCTAAATGTCCATAACAACATGTCAGACTTGGTTTTGAGTCTGTCGACCAGTCAATTTTCTCTTAATTTATGTGTTTTGCTACCGTTGCTTTAAATAGGCACCATCCTTTTTGACGCTTCTATCAAAGTATTGCCAAAGTTGCTTTTGGTTTAAAAATGGTCAACGAGACGTAAGTTCACTAAAATATGGTCTTTAGCTTTATACTCATT